TACATTAACATGTTTCTGATGTCAAGGTTCAGAGTTGTTTAATTTTATATAATTTAATTTTCTTTAATTGTAGACTTTGCTAACATGTCTATGATGGGCAGTTTTGACCTTCTGGTTTCATGCTCAAAGGGGACATGCTATTAAAACTGGGCTCTTATAGCTGTGTCTATCTGGCATCAAATCAAGTAGTGGTCTTCTGGTTAGAAGATCAATGTGGATAGACTAAATATTCCAAACGCCCAAAGGAAACAATTTCTTACTTAATGCCATCAAATTAATTATACAGTTGTTGAATCTTTACTTCAGTTCAAAATGTGCATGGTCATTAAATAAAACAAATACCTGCTTTATATATGTTTGCTCTGATGAAAAGAGCTTAGTTCAAAGAACAAAAGCTCTAGCCATATAAGAAAGTTAATTGCATGAGCCTATTGGCGCCTAGTTTTCTTGGCAGAGTCCCTTCAAACTCTAAAATTCCAAATTTAAATAAGCCCCCACCTTCTAAAATATCTATCTATCTATCTACATATAGATAATCATCCTCTATCTACATCTATCTATCGATAGATAGATAGATAGATAGATAGATAGATAGATAGATAGATATTCTACTATCTGGAATTTAATACACACACACACACGCACGCACGCACACACACACACACACACTCTCCACTATTTGGAATTCTAAGCAAATAGAATAAGCAGTAGTTGCAAACCATGCTCTCACCTCCTACATAACCCAAGGTTATGCTCTTGCCTGCTCCTCTGCCCTACCCACGAGGTACACAGTACCTCCCGTCGTGCCTCCTTCTGAGTCGTAGGAGCTTTAGGGTAATTATCAGGGCATGTTCTTAGACCCAGTCTTCTTCTCTACCTGCCCAGAGGATGTAGAAGACCAGGAAACTCAGCCTGTTCTTTTGTGTTTCTGTTGTCTCACACTGCTCAGTTCTTTCTACCCTTGGCTATTTTGTTCTGACCTCTGCTCTACCTGGTATTATTTCTTCTGTATTTTCTTCCAGATCTTGCCCATTTATACTTTTCTGTCCCCCTTATCCTTCTGCTCTTGGAGAAAATAAATAAATTTTATTTTTAAAAAAGCTAGTTATGCTTGATTATCATATGTAGTCCTTATCTATATCTGGGAAAAGGCAAGCTATACATTTTTTAAGTTAAGCTAATCATAATGAAAAATAGCATCAACAACCATTGAAGCTCTTCTTGTAAGTGTACTAAAAGAGCTCTGGAAATTTTCTATAAAACATTTGTCGTCATTCTTCTCTAATTCTAGTTATTTTCTTTAAATACCAAAAGCATAAATAGCTTCACAGATATCTCTTATTACGTATATCTATCGATGTTGCAACAGAATTGCTCAGATTTTCATCCATATTGTAGGTTTTTGTGTTTTTTGTTTTTAGTTAGCCTGGGAGCCTATGTGCATTTAAGCATTCCTCTAAGGAATTCTCTGTTCTAGATTTCAAGATGCCAATATATTCTTTTAGCATTCCCTAAATTTTCAACAGTAAACTCACAGCTTTGCAGATTCTCATTCTGGTTCTTGGAGAGAATGTATGTCTTTACATATTTGCAGATTCATGTGTGAAACTTTAGATTAGCCTTCGGGAACCTTGTGTTAATTAAAAAAGGGAAATCAATGGGCCTGTGAATCCACCTTTTCCTGGGGTTGATTAAAATCCACGAAGAAATTAAGACCAATCTAAACAGAAAAACTACATGGGTGGGAGAAATATTTACCATGTAAACACAACTGTCTCTCAAGCACACATAAAATACATTATTTTTTTATTGAAGAAAAAAGATATTAAAAAATCCAGTGACTGATTTTGCTTCCTGAACCAAATCAAATATTTTTTTGTCAGAGCTCTCATAACTGCAGCCTGCAGAGGTCACGGCCTTAACTTTCTCCTTCAGATGGTCTGTGAGTGGAATGTCCTTACCATTAAGGCTCCTTTTTGTTTTCCTTGGGAGGGTTTTGCTTACACTGGCAAGCAGCTGAGACGAACCAAGGTTCTCTAGACTCTGTTTATTAGGTTTTTATCTTCTTATCAGAGTCTTCCTTCTTAAATCATGTCAGCATTTTACCACTCTTCAGGGATTCCTGGTGTTTTATTGTCTATGAACTGCTTGGGGGGTGGTCAGGCAGGGAGCTCGCCTAACAAATATAACATTTATATAATAGTAGAACCAGAGAGGATGCTGCGTTCACTTATTATTCCCACACTCACCCGACGCTTCCTCTCCCCCTGCCGGTGAGGAGCCCCCGGGAAGCCCCTTGCCAGCTCAGCCCACGCTTATTTGTCAACAAAGTGACATGGCTTCTCTGTGGACAACCTGCTTTTCAGTTATTTTGAGTGGCTCTTTAAGCCCATATGTACTTGCTTAAGCCATTTTCAATCATCCGAAGAGACCATCGGGTGAGTGGGCGATTGCTTTGAACTTGAGAACATTATTGGGTTTCGTTCACAGATGTCATCTGGATGTAGGGGGTCCATTTCTATACCTGCTTTTCCTACCACATCGGATTCAGACTTTAAAATAACCTCACGGCAAAGTATCCAAACTTCGTAGTCTAAGTACAAGGTTTGGAGGGAAAGTGAGAAAAATTGCCTAGCTTAACTAAGGCAGGGGTTTTATGGGGCAGTGGAGGGAGGTGGCCGGAAACCAGGAAGGCAAGAGGAACGCTCACTGCTGGGAAAGTGAATCATCTCTTTTCCCTTTCATTGCTACCCACATGACTCATAATAGTATTATGTTTTTAACCATAGGCTGATTATGTCTAGTCACATGTGTTTAAAACAAGTTCTAAAAATAAGGTTAATTAAGAAAAAAAAAAAAAAGATCCACATCTTTTCACTGAGGTCATAAAGTGACTTTACTGTATTGTTATTAATACATATTGGTTTCAAAATTGGTAAAAAGAACAAGACAATGGCAACAAAACAACTTCTAAAGAGCATGAGGTTCTAAGGCAGTAGGTTATGCTGATAAACAAATTCTTTTAGATATAAATTAATCTATTTATTAGGTTGGTGCAAAAGTAATTGTGGTTTCTGCCATAAGCTCATATAAGATGTGAGTTTGATCTACAAGGGGGGACTATAGTTATTAAAGAGCATTCAACTGCTTTCTAATGTTCATCTATCTTTTCAAAAAATATTTGTTGAGTGCTTACCTATGTAAGGCATTGTTTATCTGGGAATCTCCAGTCTACTGGGACATGGGAATAACTGCCTGGTGTACATACTGGTCTGTGTACTCTTGTCTTAGTGCACTGTCCCAGAGAATATAAAATTCTCTTTCTAGTGGTGAGTAACTGTTTACTCCTACTCTTTGTTAAGACCTCAGGGTATGTTCAGTATTCCACAGTAAGGAAGTGTAAATTCGATGGAGAATCACGTGGGTTTCTTTTTTATTTTTTTCCCTCTAATGAATCTTGAATGACATTTTTTTTCTTTAAGAGCATTTTCCCTACTTATTAAAGCAATAAGTTCTTGTGGAAAAGTGCTTAACATAACAGTTTCACGGCCAGTTTTCCCTTCCAGCTGATAACATCGCAGAGAAAGACGAACACAAGGCTTGGAAATTTGGGACTAAATACTACCATGATTTTTCAGATAAAAATGAATAGAATAAAAGATGTTTGAAATTTTATCATGAAGACTTAAGTGCATTTTTCAACTGAGTTCCTACTTAGTTTTTTTTTTTCCCTCAGTTCTCTTATCACAGCAACTCAAATTTGAGAGACTTACCATCTTCACTAATCCATCACTTGAGCTTCATTTTCATGATTTTCTATGACTTGAGTACTCCAACTATTTAGGGTTCCCTGTACTGCCTCAGCATCAACATAATTTTGCCTTCATAATTGATTTATTGTACCCTTCACAGAAAAAAATATGAATAAAGTCCTGGATTTTACTAGAATATAAATGATAATTGCTGATATAAATAAAACACTTGGTAGGACTACTGCTCTCATGAAGTTTAAACTTCCAAGGCTTTCTAAACTTAGTAAAATGATATTAGACATCTCCTTGTTGTTATTATTATAATAATTTCTTAAAGATACCATGGTTGACTCAGGGTTATTCATTTTTTCATCATTCATTCAGCTAGCATTTATTTATTAGCTACTGTCTTCCAGACCTAGTGTTAGGTATTAAAAGAAAGAAGAATTAAACATAATACTTATTTTTGTTACGAGCTCCTACTTGAGTTTCCTAGAGTTTTGTTAGCTTGTAAAGAAATATTTACAATACAGTAGATAAGAGCTATATGACATCACAATGGGGAGAGCCATGGATTTTTTGGAGAAGACCCAGTCAAGTGGAGAGTTAGGTCCCAAAGAAAAAGGAATTTAGGGGAAGAGTTCATATTTCAGACAGAGAAGTGTTAGGTTTGGGCATAAGGAAAAGAATATAAGGAAAATAATTGCCCTGGGGAAGGTACAATTTCCCAGTAGCTGGCAGGTATTGGAGGAAGAGATTGGGGGGATATTAAGGGTTAGGATATGGTTTAGTTATGAAGGGCCCCTGTGCCCTGCAAGGAGACTTGTGAGGTTTACCCCATCCCTCTGCATCCACCCCAATGCAAAGGAAATTAATTTTCAGACTCTTATGTGGTCAATTAGCCTTATTAATTACAAACATTTTAGTACTTTTTGAGTTTAGCCAGGCACATGATCATATCCATTTTATCTGTTACTGTTTTGTTAAGCCATTGCTTTTTATCTAGGTAATAAGAATAAGACAGTGAAAACTACCCTTCTGTAATACAACCAATTGCTGCAGTCCCCCTTAACCATAGTTTTGTTTTCTGCAATTTCACTTACCTGTGGTCAATGGGGGTCCAAAAATATGACATCACTACTTGTATGCTTTGGGGCCATTATTAAGTCAAAGAAAGGTTAATTGAACACAAGCACTGCACAACATGACAGTCAATCTGATAACAGATCACTACTAAGTGAGTCACGGGCAGAGAGTGCAGACAGTCTGGATCTGCCTCTCCGAGAAATGATTCATGTCCCACGTGCGAAGGACCAAGATGGCCCAAGATTTCATCACACTACTCAGAATATGGCACAATTTAGAATTTATGAATTCTTTATTTCTGAAATTGCTCATTTACATCACAATGCCTATAACTATGCATCCCTTTATCTCATGACATAGACATTGTATCGTTTCACATCATCACAAGGAAAAGGGTGAGTACAGTACAGCAAGATATTTTGAAAATAAGAGAAAGAGAGACCACATCCATATACCTTTTATTATGTTATATTATTGTCATTGTTCTATTTTACTGTTAGTTATTGTTGTTAATTTCTTACTGTGCCTAATTTATAAATTACACTTTATTATAGGTATGCATGTATAGGAAAAAATGTAGTATATATAGGAATAGTGTATATATGTAGATAGTGTATAACTATCTATAGTTACAGGCATCCACTGAGCGTCTTGAAATTTATATGTATCCCTATATTATAGATATATCTATATAGATATATAGATATATAGAGATATTATACATATATAGATATACATATAACTACATATTAAACAAATAATATAATATATAACGTATTTATTATGTTATATATGTAATATATAATGTTCTACTATGTATTATATAAATATATTATATATAATGTATATAATAAAACATATATAACTCATATTCACCACAAAATGAGGTGTGTTTAAGGTTTACCTATGATAATAGTACTTGTCCCAATTAAAAATAAGATTTAATATTTTAGTTGGTATAAAAGTAAACTTGAAGATAGAGGCAAATTTACGACTCAGGAAACAATGCAGAATGTAGAGCACTGAGGAGATGGAACTCGATGAAAAAAGTTTCAGGTGTGATTATCCAGATTCTTATTTGGATACTAAAATATCAGGTAGATTTCACCCATGCCTGAAAGTCACAGAAATGCTCCGATAACATGAAATTTTTCACATGTGCTACAAATGCAACTAACCAAAGGATTATGATTCTAAGTGAGAATAAAAATAATTTAAATGTATAGAGAACTAGAATAATTTTTAGATTATAGGACAAAAAGTCAACTGCTCTTTTAGATACTAAATTCAAGGGAAACTTAAGCTTATTTTGTTTCTCAAGGTGAACAACTTAGAAATCTTCTAAGCTGCAACTCTCTCTCTCATATATATATATATACACACACACACACACACACACATATGAATATATATACATATGAATATGTGTAAACCAATGAGCATTAACACACTGTCAAATGTTCTTTTGTGACTTTTCTCTTAAAATCCTCAAACAACCATATGTTTCTCTATTTCCTGCACAGGTGATTTTGCAAACTTGGTGAAATGACACTTATCAAAAACACAACCTATTTGGAGAAAAGGCAAATGTAGTAGGTACTATCATTGCATGAGATCTACTGCAGTTCAGATGAAAATGTGAAGAAATTCCTAGTAAAGAATCATGTCAAAAGTTTACATTTGAACTGTTTCCAAAAGATCATGTGCTTTAACTTCAAGTTAAATGGTGTATGGGCCATATCTCATCTTTTTTCCTCCTCCCCTATTTCAACCTTGTCCCAAGTAATGCCACATCTCCCATACTCACTCCTTCACACAAACACATAAACACACACATACCACCCCTTCACATTCCTTCTCTCACACACACTCCACACACATATACACAAGAACACACACATTCCATTCATTCACATGCATACATACGCAAATAGACAAACACTACTCCACACTCACATACACATACACAGACATACACCCACACCATGCTTTCAGATGTGCAAACATAAACACAGACCTTTTGGACCTACTATTTATTATATTATGCATTCCTGTAGGGTTATGGCTTGGCTATCACAAGAGAGTTTTATTTTATTTTTATTTTTTATTTATTTACAGACAGAGTCTCACTCTGTCCCCTAGGCTGAAGTACAGTTGTGTGATCATAGCTCACTGTAGCCTGAAACTCCTGGGCTCAAGCAATCCTCCTGACTCAGCTTACCAAGTAGCTGGGACTACAACACCCAGCTAAAAGTGTTTGGAATTGAAAGTATGCAGAGCAGAGAATCATGAGACAAAAAGAGAAAAGTTAAAGAATAAAATTATTGACAATAGGTGCCCATCAAATTCTCATTCCTTCCTCCATGCTTGACAATTTCACATAGGCTGGCAAAGATTGGTTCTTACTTAAAAGTATATTGGAGAGATTCATGCCAAAGACTCCCTTACCCCAACCTTGAAATTAAAGCAAATGCTATCTGCTGATGAAAGAAGACACATGGGGTATGGATCATGTAGAAACCAGTTTAATTTCAGCCTCTTCACTAAATAGCAGTTTGGAATTTTCCTAGGAAGAGTTTGTATTTGCTTTGCTTTGTTACATTTTGTTTTCTAATTATAGACTTAAAAAACAAAACTTAGAGACTAAAGGAGATAGACGGCTAGCATGAATGTAAACTAACAACTACTTTTTATATAGAGCAAATGGACAACATATATCAGAAGGCTTTATAATATAAAGCCCACTGATTTAGTAAGTCAGGTCTTTCAAATACAGACCAAGGAAGTTAATCTAAGTAAAGAAATAAAGTTTTGTGTCTGATGCTCTCATAGTGATCAATATTATGCTGTTTACAGTGGCAAAAACTTGGATATAAGAAAATATCCAACAACAGGGAAAAGATTAGTAAATAATGACGCATCCTCATAGTGGAAAAATAAATAGTCATTACATTTCTGTCAAAAAAAATTTTTTTTTTTGAGACGGAGTCTCGCTCTGTCGCCCAGGCTGGGGTGCAGTGGCGAGATCTCAGCTCACTGCAAGCTCCGCCTCCTGGGTTTATGCCATTCTCCTGCCTCAGCCTCCCAAGTAGCTGGGACTACAGGCGCCCACCACCTCGCCCGGCTAGTGTCTTGTATTTTTTTTTAGTAGAGACGGAGTTTCACTGTGTTAGCCAGGATGGTCTCGATCTCCTGACCTCGTGATCCGCCCGTCTCAGCCTCCCAAAGTGCTGGGATTACAGGCTTGAGCTGCTGCGCCTGGCCCAAATTTTTTTCTAGTAACAAAAAAATGCATGTAATAAAATTCAAAGTGTACGGCCAAATTTAAAATCCTATATACAGACTGATCTCGATGAGACAAAGGCAAAATAAATAAATAAATAAAAATAAAAGATTGAAACCAAAATACTAGTGGAAGTCACCTGTAGGAAATATGATTGTGGATGTTTTCTTTTATACTTTAGAGTACTTCCCAAATTTTACACAATAAAAATGAAATTTTTATAATAAAAATGAATTAAATAAACTTTATTCCAGAAACACAATGGGATTGATTAGCTCTATTTATTCAGCTACATTGGTTTCCATTTTCCCAGTGGTTTTATTATTTAAATTACATTATGAATAGTGTGAAACGCTTAGAGACAACACAAGTGCTCTTGATATGCTGAAAACATATTTCCTAGAAAAGTCTAGATGTTAGGAGAAAGTACATCAAATGCAACTTCAGACTTGTAAAATCTAGCTTAATACCAGTTTCTCATAGCTGGCGTCTAGTTCCTAGAAAATGTGGGATGTTTTTATTATTGTTTGCAAGTTTTGAATACTCTTAAATATTACCGAAGTTATACCAAAAATTCTAATAGTAGAAAAAAACTATTACATTTATTTTTATATCAAATGCAAAGTATGCATATGAAATGGATTAATCACTTCTTCATTTACAAATCACTAGAGCTAACAAAATTATTTATAAATCACTAAGGCTAATAAAATTATTTTCTTTTTAGGATGAAGGAGACAAATATTAATTAAGGGCTTACTGTTCCAGAATGTGTTAGAGGTGCTTTAAATTCAGAGGTTATAACCCAGAGGTAAAGATCTCATCCCCTGTCAATTACACAAAGCTGGGTTTAGTTCTCAGCTCCAGTACTCAGTGTGACCCTGGGCAAGTAATGTATCAGGTGCCGAATTCCTTATTTACAAAACTGGTATAACAATGGCAGTGATTTCATTTGAGCCAAAGACAGAAGAAGCCATTTGTGCAAAGCCTCCCCAGAAACGCAGCCTAGGGCCCATTCCTGTGAGTCATCCAGGGAGGCTGGAGGTTAGGGTACAGGGAGAAACAGAAGAGGCAGAAGGTGAGGTTAGGCAGGAGGGCACTGGATTGAATGTCACTAGGTTTCGCTTTTATCCTGAGGGCACTAGGGCACCATTGACTGGATGAAGTGAGAGGGATATGCTCTGTAAACATTTCTGGAATTATGGTGCGGGGTGCTAAAAACTACTCTGCTTAAATGGCCAAGAACACACGTATCTTTGGTGTAGGTCACAATTGTATAGCATGACATGCTATAAAAGGTACAGAAAGTCTTTAGGGCAGCCTTTTTGACCTCCTGAGTATTGGGGAAATGAGGAAGGGTCCCGTCCCTGGCTTCATGTTTTCCTGTGGATGGAGGTCCCGTGGCAAAGCTATCTAGTCCTTTCCCTCACTCCTTCCTCCCCAGGGGTGGAGCTAACTTACCTGATGAATGATGAGCCTGGCAGGAGGAACTGAGCCCACCTGGCTCAGCTGCTTCCTGATCAACCACTCCTGAAAAGGATTTACATTCTCTTGACCTTGTAGTTGACTTAGCAGAGAAGGCCTTGTCCTGACCAGGAACTCCCTGGTTTCCAGTGCTGTCTGTCACAGAGTGGTGAGTTGAATTCAGAGAAGAACCACTTGGCTACCAGACCTAAGGTAACCTTCTCCCACCCAACCTGAATAAAGGTAATATTTTGATCTCCAGCTATGCAATTCCTATCTTTCTAAGTTAGCTCAGAATTAGCCCTCCACAAACCCCCACAACGGTTCTAAGAGCAAACTCTGTATCAGGAACTTCGGTTTTGAAGGTGCTTAGCACAGAATGAATATATGCTGCCAGTAGAATAGAACAGCTTTTGTTTGTTTGTCTGTCTTGTTTTGAGACGGAGTCTCGCTCTGTCACCCAGTCTGGAGTGCAATGGCATGATCTCAGCTCACTGCAACCTCCACCTGTCAGGTTCAAGTGATTCTCTTGCCTTAGCCTCCTGAGCAGCTGGGATTACAGGCACCCACCATCATACCTGGCTAAATTTTGCATTTTTATAGAGACGGGGTTTCACCATGTTGGACAGGCTGGTCTTGAACTTCTGA